GAAGTCCTCAGGACATCAYGCAGGCAAAGACGAGACTGCTCAGCACTCTGCTCCAGAAGCTCTCCACAGAGCTACTGAAAAGCAGAGCAGTCACAGGAGGCCTTCGCAATCACGCCTCTGAGCTGCCCAGAATACGGGAATTTAAGTCACCTTTGCCTTTCCTGCAGCACCAAGCTGTGCCCCTGGAGGAGCACAACACAGGATCAATCCCACCAGCTTTACCCTGTCTGCATGTAAAGCATGAGGCACCTGCTCTCAAGTCTGCAAAAACAACTCGCTTCCAACGTGTTACTGCAGTGTGGTTACAGCACACCCCAGCTGGGCACGGAAACACTAGCAGTGGGAATGTGAGGCTGGAACTGAGCRAAAAGCTCCAAAATTCTGCTGTTCTAATGCAAATAATGAGGAAATAGCTCAAGCCTGCACTCCAGACACATTGCTTAGGCTCTGCTGGATGTTTTTTTCTTAATATGTCTGAAGTGATCAAAATCTCCCATTTACCATTTTCTGCTAATCCTTGTGCMTTCGACATGGCAATCCTTTTTATAGATGAAATCTAATACTTCCTTTGCAATTTATGAATAAGTTTTCTTAATTTAAAATTATGATAAATCACTCCAGTCATGTGGCATAGATACTGTTTCAAATAATAATCATTGTGTCTGGATTCCACCATAATGTATTTTGCCATTTTTTATTCTTATGTTATTGAAAATATCCCTATCCTGGTCTCTGCTGAAAAGAACAACCATAATGCTGTTATAAGAAGTACAGATTTTGCACAGTTTATTATTATTTTGCACAGTTACTCTGCAGCACATTCTACTTAACAGAAGTTTGAGACTGATTTCAAAAATGCTTGGATGGACTTGGATATATGTGCATCTGTGAGGAAACAGAGAAGCATGCAATAACATGAAATCTCCATGTGTCTCCATGGAACAGCATAAATATCTCTACTTTGTTCTTCTTTTCAAGTCTTTTATGTATATATATATACACATATATACACAGCTGCGGGTAAAAAAGACATTAAAAAATTAACTTGTTGTAAAATTATGCTGAGTGCACATCACACTTTTTATTTCTTTCAGAGAAAGAAGTAAGAAACATCTTTTCCTCTTTGGAAGGYTGTGTGGAGTCAGCCAAGAGAAAGGGATTGTAGTTGTTGGTGTTCTCTCAATGAAAAGACGTCCTTATTGCTTAGATACACATTTCATCTTCTGAAAAATGTGCAATTTGTTCAAGGGTGAGGAAAAATTTATCAACAATCTCCAGCTTTAGTTGAGATTAGCAATTTAGAATTCCTGTTCTTCATCCAACATTACTGAATTCATCCTTCATAACTTAAATAATATGTCTATATCTTAAGGAATACGGGAAACACTGGAACGTCTCTGTCTCATAAAAGAACAATCTGAACAATAACAAAATATAATTCAGTATTTCTATTACATTTCCTACCTACATATATTAGACATAATTTAATATATTTATTTAAAAAGAAGCAATGCATATCTTGTGTGTCTCTAAATAATTTTGATGCTAAATTTGGTAAAGGAGGGTTGACCTGCGATGCCTTCTCAGATCTGATAGTAGCTATTTATGGTCCAATAAAAATCATCTCATTTAAGCTGAACTAAGTTGAACCTGACACTTTGGTCTTAAGAAATGCTGTGACCTTTTGCACTGAGTTGAAGAAAATAATCAACACAGCATGGTGACTTATATTCCTTATTTTGAGTTCATCAAGAAGGCTCTGTGTTACGAGAAGCATTGCTTGGGGGGCTATCAGCATGTTTAGTTCTGTTTATTTCCGTAAATCTATCTTCATTTAACGATTTTGTAGCAATCTGATTAGCGTGATGAAGATAGTTTGGAAAGGAAAACTGTGCTTGCAATGAAGATACCGATGTGGAGAGGTTTAGAACCCTGTTGCTCACTTTTCACATGACTTTGCAAAGTTATTCAAATTCTATGCCTTATTTCTGTATYAATAAAGTGAAGGTGATTTGACCTTCTATTCATCTTTTCCTAGATTAAGACTGGATTTCTGGACAAGTTCTAGGACATCAGGGTCCCAGGGGATGTAAGCACATAATACAAAAAAAAATCTTTTGTCTGGCATATTTAGATGACAGAGACAAAGCTGTTGTTTAAGATAATTCTGGATTATATAAAAGCCAAAGTTTTTATCAGCCTTAAGCCACACTTACTACTAAGTTATCAGGGAACAGGAAGTTATCATTTTTTATTGCCACAAAGTGTTTTTTTTTATGCCTTACCTGTTTGTATCTCAATCCTCTGTGGCTGAGGAAATACTAACCTCTCTCTTAGAGCAAGTAACTTTTGTTACATAGTTTTTGCCATGCAGCATTTTGTCCAAAGATTCATAAAGTTGAATTTTTGAATTCCCCCCATTTTTCAGCTTCTCTCTGTAAAGGTTATTTTTTCCATAGACAGCTGAATCCAGAATGGGCTTCACTYGACACTTGACACTGAAGAAAATCCACCTCTACAAATCAGTATCTTCTGTTCTTTAATTACTCCTGCTCYGCACTGCTTTTCATGCTCTGCGAATATTGGCATCTTTCAGGAGGAAGGAGGGAAATCTATGCGGTAGGTCTATGCAGAAATCTATGCAGAAGCACTCCAAGCAGGAAGGGCTACAGCTAGCAGGAAAAGGGTAAGATAAAATTCCATCTGGGACATCGCCCCTGCTCCCTGCCCTCTCAGGCACCCGCAATTCTGCTACAAATGCGCAAACACAAGGGCTCAGGGTGAGAAGCAGTGATAGAAAGGAACCAGACATAGACTCAAACAACAGAGATTCTGGAAAAGCAGATAAACCAGGGCATGGGGGGCACTTTCAACAGCCATGACTATGTGTCTTGTGCTCAGTGTTACTGTGTGCAGATCTTTCCTCTTTCCTACGGCCTCTTTGCTCCTGTGTATTTCACACCTAGCCTGTCTTTCTCTCTCTTTCTTTTCCTTGGTTCCCAAAAGTAGCCATGAGATTTATCCACTGCAAGAAAAAACCTTCTCCATCACTCTTTTTCTAGATAGAATTTGACATGCCTATTTATCTAGGCCATTTATATGCTCTGCCCTTTCTTCATCTTGTGCCATTTTCAGCTAGAGTCCATAGATTATCTGCAGGGATTTTCTGCTCCTCTGTGCAGAGAGCTCCTGGTGCTGTCTGAGCTTTCCTCAGTACCAGATTAAACACTGTGAGTAACATCGAACCGAGCAAGGAAGGACACAGCAGAGGGGGGAGGTTCTACACAGCAGYCCATCAGCACAGCTCAAGGTCTGCGATAGAGTTACTAATCAACCCACGGGACTTCTCTGCTGAAGCCCGGCATGAAAAGCTCTCTCTACAGCAAAGGAGGCACGGAATGCATCACCCTGGAGTCAGTCAGTGCCTCCCTGAGCGTTTACCCAGCCAAGAGGGCAGAGACTTTCCTTCCCTGTGGATGCAGCGGCTGGAACGCACGAGAGCATCACTGCTGACTCAGTGGCAGGGCAATGAGCTCCTCACTCCACATCCACAGCCCTCACATCACTCACACAATTACACCCACGGCAATGATGCTTGAAACGTCCACCTCTTCTCTTGAGGTTTCACTTACGAAGTTGGCTGATATTACTGGCTAAACACAGGGCTTAATTCTCCTCTCACATGCACCAACCCATACACAGAAGCTATATCTTTGGCTTAAATGGATATATTTCTGAAAAGCCAGACATACATTCAAACTTCATCAATCTGAGTCAGACTGGTGATGTAAAGTCTAACAGGTGGCCGAAAGTGCAATTTCCATTGGTTTCATGATACTTGTGAAGGATGGAGACCTGCTGTATCACAGTCATGGGATGACTATGAGACACCAGAGTACTGCAGCATTAGAAAAAGTAAATGAAACCAGAGGAAAAATAACCTGAGATGCCTTGCCTCTCCTAGGGACATAGTCATGTCTTAATGCCCTGAAGAAATTTCCTCTGAAATACTATGTACTGTGCCCAGCACTCATGCCCCAAAATGATGAACTCCAAATGCAACGGGTGCCAAGAATACCTAGACGGGAAGGGTTCACCTCAGGAGAGCAAGATGATGAGCACATTGTGTTCAGCTCAACAAAACATGCCTGAGAAGGAAAATGGTCACCCTCTAGCAGCACAGGAGGGAAACTGGTGCTCTTTGAACCTAAGGATAATGCTGAAATAAGATCACATAAATATAAACCAACTAGAAATAATTTGCAGTTGAAGGTGACCTCTGACACCCAAGAACTGGGTTGGCAGAGCCAGGGTAGAGCCACTTGCAAAGGGAAATGCTGGGGATCGGTGTCACCACCGTAACCTGCTCCCTGGGGTGTCAGCCAAGCAGGGCAGAGAGGTGCCCAAGCTGCCAGGCTGAGGAGCGGTCGGAGTTACCTGAGGTTTTGCCTTCGCCTGTTGCCTTCATGTGCGCTTTCCATGTCACAGAAACTGCCAAAACAAAGCAGGACTCTCCATATTTATGAGACCCTGATATTTTCTAAATACAAAATCTTCCTCTCCCCTTTGCTCTAGCAAGCCTCGCTTCCCCGAGCACAGCATTTCACATCAGAGGCCGGAGGGAGAAGAACGCATCAGAGATGAGAATTTCCTCAAAAGCTTCAACACCGGCGGTTCCAGCAGGGCAGCACAGAGGGAGAAAAATAGATAGATAGATAGATAGATAGATAGATAGATAGATAGATAGATAGATAGATAGATAGATAGATAAAAAGTAGTGGGAAGGATAAGACGCAAAGCGGTGCCCCCCCGGGCCCCTCCTGACTCCAGGCTCGCGCAGTCGCCGCCGCTCGGAGCGGGGCAGGGGCGGCCGCGGGGGATTTCGTGGGCGCTGCGTCAGCCGGGGCCCGCCGGCGATTGGGGGAGGCTCCGCTTTGCCCGTTTTCACTAATTATAAAGTGGCTCCCGCCGCCTCCTCGCTCCGAGTGCGGAGCGGCCGCAGCCTCCGCTCAGGCTCCGCGAGCAGGAGCAGCCGCGGGCGGCTCTGCCCTCCTTTCCCTCGGGCTCTCTCTCCGCTCGCGCATCCCGGGCGGCCTCGAGAGCAGCCGGAGCAGCATCGGGAGCGGGTGCCGGACCCGCTGAGGACGCCCGTGTGTGAGTGCGCGGCTCCGGGCTTGGCTTGACTTTCCGGCTTGACTTTCCCCCGGCGCCGCGCTCCGCCGTGAGCGGCTGYCTGCGTGCAGTCTGTCCGCGGGGAGAGCGGCTCGGAGGGCCGGCGGGGCGCGGAGGGGCGCGGAGGGCTGGGGGGGCGCGGAGGGGCGCGCGGTGGGCGCCGCGGGACGGGCGGCGCTCACCTCTTCTCTTGCAGCCCCCATGGCGCGGCTGCTGCCCCTGGGCTGCGCGCTGCTGGCGCTCAGCACCTGCCTGCTGCTGCGCGCCCGCGCAGACTGCGGCCGCCAGTGCGCAGCCTGCGCCTACCGCCTCGGCCCGCGCGCCCGCATCCTGCCCCTGGTAAGCGGCCCGCGCGGCCCGGGCGGGCGGGAATGGCGGGGCGGGAAGCGACCGCCCGAAAAGTTGGGGAAAACGGCGGCGCAGAAAGTTGGCGGGCTCTCTCTGAAAGCCGCCGGAGTAGCAGTGCCTCCCTGCACCCACGGTAAAATACACTCCCTTAGCGCGGGGTAGAGCATGCTGAGGAACCTCCAGACTGCGGCTTCTTCCTGGCCGTAATTTTAAGGGCATTGGGATTATCTAAAAACAAGCCCACAGGGCAACTTGTGCGAAATTTAGTCGCCGGGACCAGTAAAATCCCTGAGTGCTCCCTGAAGAAGGCGGTCGCTGAGGCTGCAGAGCCCTTGGCCACAGGCTGGCGGTGCCTCATGGTTTCTCATCTTAAAAATCTGTGTGTTCAGGCATCGTGCCGGCAGCATGTCCAGGTGTTCCACCTAAAATGTCATGGGCTTTTCGGGAGCGCACAGAATAAACGTCTGGACCCAGCTCTATGCAGCATTAGGAATGGTCAAATACCTGTGCTTACTACAAAAGCAAGGACTGCAGGTTCATAACAGCAATATTCTTAGGGTACCTGGAGGGAAAAAAAAAAAAAAGAAGTTCAGTGTGTTCCCCTTACATTAGCTTTCAATCTACCTTCAGTATTAACTGTTTTCCTCGGGGAGAAAAAACAGTGGTTTAATTTCCTGAGGGGAGGGCTATGTGTTTTCCAGAGTACGTGTTCAGTCGAGTGTCTGCAATAGCCTCTTTCTTGTACACCCTCAGGAGTTACTCAAGAAAGAATGATTAAATCTCATTCGGTAACTGCACTTACTAGTTGAAATAAGAAAAGAAGCAAAGCGTCATACTAAATATTCATTATAATATACAGTTTTTAAAAAATAGATTTTTCTAGATACTAATATCTAGCAAAACTGCTTGATTTTATTTCATTGTATCAGTAAGATGTAATGAAGCGATTCATACATATGAGATGACATACATTTATTTGAACACAGGAGGTTGCTTAAGCCAATCAAGATAGAATGAGAAAGGGAAAGAACTTCTCTTGTTCTGATTTAACATTATTTCTAAATGGAAACTGAATTTGAGATCACATTCTCTTCATGGCATATGACTGTACCGTAAAGCAGTAAACTATGCTAAATGCAGTAATACTAATGATTTCTTCTTTAGTTATGAAAATCGTAAGACAGGAAGACAAAACACTGGATTCTTCTTTTTGTGACTTATCACACCGAATCACAAAATGGTTAAGGTTGGAAGGCACCCCTAGAGGTCATCTAGTCCAACCCCACTGCTCAAGCAGGGGCACCTAGAGCACAGGGCACAGGGATGAGTATGATTTCTCTAAAAAATAAGTTTCCTTGAAACAGTAGTGATAATAGCGTCTACTATGTGTTCTGTTATCTTAACATGGCATGTTATAAGATGTATACAGGTACTGAAAATTTATTTTGTGTTTAAGCGTGAAAAAAAATGTCTTCATCATTTAGAAGTAACGTGAGTTAGGATTTTTTCCCGCCTTCTGATAGTCACGGCTTTGTATAACAAAGTAGGAAAAAAAAAAAATGCTAGATTCTGCCTAAGAAAGCCTGTATTTCTAGGGCATAGAATCTATATTGCTGTATACTAGAAAGATTAGTTCCCTGAAGACAAGCAGAGAGAAATTACAGCCTGTAGAGCCATGCAGTGTACTGCAGATACTAACCAGTACAGCTAGCTTCTTTTCAAAAATACTATTTTCTAATGCTCTCAGTAATCTTTTTGTAAAACTTATTAATATTACATTTTTAATGATGAAGATCCAGTACACCCTACACTTTCATGATGAAACCTCCAGCAACTCTTTTTTTTATTTTTCCACTGATAAACGGAAACTTCCTAGGAATGCTCCCAAGCAAGAAGGGAGGTATGGGAGCTGTGACATTTCTGTAATAAAACCACAGGGCCTCCCATGAGGGATAGAACTAATGATCTGTCTTGTCCAGTGCCTTGTCTCGTAGGGTGGATATTGCCAGGTGCTTGGAGAACAATACAAGAAATGTCAAAGTAGACAGTTACGAAACAAGCAGTTGCTGATGAGCTGTCCTTCCAACCCACCACTAAGTACAGCTCACTCCTGGCCTTTTTAAAACAAGAAAAGCTCAGACAAGATGTCAGTGAAGTACATGCTATTTAATGATTCTTAGTAAACTACATCCATTTTTCAGGCATGTACACTAGAATGTGAAGGAAAGCTGCCTCCCGCCAAAGCTTGGGAGACCTGCAAGGAGCTCCTGCAGCTGACAAAACTGGATCTTTCTGAGGATGGCAATAGTGCTCCAGGAGACAAGAAAGAGCTGGATGAGAACCACTTGCTTGCAAAGAAGTATGGGGGCTTCATGAAAAGATATGGGGGGTTCATGAAGAAAATGGATGAGCTCTATGGGGTGGAACCAGAGGAGGAAGCTGATGGAGGAGAGATCCTGGCTAAGAGGTATGGAGGATTTATGAAGAAAGACTCGGATGATGACACCCTGGCTAATTCCTCTGATCTCCTGAAGGAGCTTCTAGGAACAGGGGATAACCCTGAAGCTGGACATTACGGAGAGATAAATGAAAATGACGGAGATGTCAGCAAAAGATATGGAGGCTTCATGAGAAGTGTAAAGCGTAGTCCAGAATTGGAAGATGAAGCCAAAGAGCTGCAAAAGAGATACGGTGGTTTCATGAGAAGAGTGGGCAGGCCGGAGTGGTGGCTGGATTACCAGAAACGATACGGTGGGTTTCTTAAGCGCTTTGCTGATTCTATTCTCCCTTCAGAAGAAGATGGGGAAAGCTATTCCAAAGAGATCCCAGGGATGGAAAAGAGATATGGCGGATTTATGAGATTTTAATACCTTCTCCCCTTAATTCCTTTTGTTCTAAATGAGAAAGACTGCCTTATTGGTCATAACTTATTGTAATGTGTTGCTTGTACTGTACAGTTTTTTACTGTCCTGGTAAATGATGTAACCTGCAATCTGTTCTTTCAGGTCCCGTGTTCTTTTAAGTCAAATAACTACTTTCCTGTTTAGCCAAGTTCAAGTCTGTATTGTAGTTTCCATGTTAAAACTATTTTGATTACTGTATTCATTTTCTTTAAAGAAGAAGTACATCTACAGTAGAATTGCTTAACTGTATAWATAATAAATTCGTCATCCTAACTGCATAAATATTGAAATATGTGTTATTTTCTGCCAGTCATTTAATCAAACATCATATCATCTTTTCTTAACACTAAACACTCACATTAATGTTGCCAGACTCTTTTCTCTATAAATACAGAATTTGTACTTCACACAAAACAGCCAAATTGTTTTTTCTTTCTTTCRTCAGTTTCTTAACATACTAGAATAATGAATATACTCTAAAGAACACATCTGCTCTGACTGTTCTTATTGGATTAAAAAAAATCTTGTTGTATTTAGCCAATTCTCATAAATAAATAAAATATTTCACTTAAAATACTAAAATCATTGCTCCAGGACATAACAAAATGTCATATTTTAGTTGTACTTTTTACATCCACCCAATATAAGATTGTATAGTCTTTAAGGTCTTTAGTTAAAAAGCAGTGAGTTTGTGTAAAATAAACAGACCACCAAAAACTGCATTAAAAACTTAACAAATCCAACTGAGCATGATAAATGATTTTGCATGGAGTAGCTTTTTGTGATTCCTCAGTTGGCATTCCCCGCCTCTGCACTACTTAAATACTGGAAGCCGTGTTGGTCAATCCTTTCTGTTTGAAACCAAGGGTTGTAGGCTAACAACAAGAGTAAATTTGAGAGCAAACTGGTACCATCATGAATATTATAGATCATTTGACATGTACGGTAGCTGCATTAAAGAACAGCTGCCACCCCAGCGGTAATTCCTTCCTTTGATAGCCCTATGTGACTACACATTTAGTATCTGAAGTTCCTGGGGTAAAATTCTTCAAAGATGTTTAGAAAATATCACTGAAGTAGTTTGTGGGAGCTAGATGTCTAAGTACATCCATGGCTCTKGCTGGAGTATCTATCTTAAGGACTTAACAATTGCATAGATGCCTAGTAGGCTGCTGAAGCCCATCTCAGTTTTGTAGGTTAATATCTATTGATGCAAAAGCATCTCTGACGTTTCTTTGAACTTCGAGTCAATGGATTCTTCTGGGTTCACATGACCTACTAAATAAAATCAAGCTCGATAGTTAAACATTTAAATATGCACTGAAAAGCCTAACTACATAGAATTAGTGATGATTTCTGACTAAGCCCTGASAGGATGATTGATAYAAATGRTCCAAAGAGTACAAAATTCTGCTGAATATGTCATTGRTAAACTGCAAGACATTCATTCTCCTTCAGCAAAATGTAAAAGGCATCCGTTTTCCTGTTCCTGCTATACAAAAGAATGATATTAAATTTTAAAAGTTTAAAAACTGCAGGGAGAAAGTCTGGATTAATCTATTTGGTGRAGGAGATTTGGGTTAGAGATCATTTAGGCAAATTTGACATCCCTAAGTTCATTGGTGCTGAGGGAGCTGGGGCTCTAGCTAGGCCACTCTCCATCACCTTTGAAAAGTCATGGAGAATGAGAGAGGTGCCTGGGGACTGGAAGAAAGCCAGTGTCRATTCAACTTTCAAAAAGGGCAAGAAGGAGGAYSCAGGGTACTACATGCCAGTSAGCCTCTGAAAAGGTAATGGAACAGCTCACCTCGGTTGCCATCTCTGAGTATGTGAAGGATAGAATGTGATCAGAAGTAGTTATCATGGATACACAAAGGGGAAATCATGTTTAACCAATCTGATGGATTTCTATGATGGCACGACTGGCTGCATGGATGAAGTGAGAGCTGTAGATGTTGTTAATCTTGATTTCTGCAAGGTTTTTGACATCATCTCCCATAATATCCTCATAGGCAAGCTCAGGAAGAATGGGTTCTGTCTGAAAGGCAGAATTCAGAGGGCCGTGAGCAGTGATACAAAATTCAGATGGTGACCTGTAGGTAGCAGTGTCCCCGAGGGCACTRTATTGGGGCCGGTATTGTTCAGTCGCTTCATCAACAAAGGGACAATTTGATGATGATACCAAACTGATAGGAGTGGTTGATGTCCCAGAGGGCTTTGCTGACATTTAGAGGGATCTCGACAAGCTGCAGAGCTGGGCAGAGAGTAGCCTCAAATTCATAAAAGGCAAGGGCAAAGCCCTACCTCTATGGAGGAATAACTCCATGTAACAGGAGAGGTTGGAGGCTTGGAAATAGCCCTGTAGAGAAAGGCCTGGGGATTCTGGAGGACAAGTTGTCCATGAGCCAGCCATGTGTTGTTGGGCAAGAAGACCAGTGGTACCCTGGGCGTCATTAGGAAGAGTTAAGGGAGTTCCTTTCCTTTTCCTCCTTTCAGGGATCTCCTTGGAGCAGTCCCCTGGGCTAGGATCCTAGAAGGAAAGGGAATCCAGAAGAGCTGGCTAATATTCAAGCACCACTTCGTCCAAGCTCAGGGTCAGTGCATTCCACAAGAAAGAAGTCAAATAAGCAGGGCAGGAGACCTGTATGGATGGACAAGGAGCTGCTAGGCAAATTTAATGAAAAAAAAAAAAAAAAAAAAAAAGAGAATACCATGGGGAAAAAGGAAAAAAAAAAAAAAAAAAAAAAAAAAGAGCGTATAGCATGTGGAAGAAGGGCCAGGCCGCGTGGGAAGAATATTGGTGCATCGTCAGAGAATGCAGATGCGCAACAAAGAAGGCCAAGGCCTGTGTGGAATTACAGTTGGTGAGGGATGTCAGGGACAACAGGACGAGTTTCTATAAATATGTCAGCAGCAAGAGGAAGATGAGGGAAAATGTTAATGTGCTACTAAATGGGGAGGGGGACTTGGTGACAGAGAGTGCCAAGAAGGCAGAGTTACTAAATGCCTTCTTTGCCTCTGTCTTTATTGCTAAGGCTACTCCCTATCAACTGAAGAGCTCAGGTAAAAGAGAGATAAATGAGCCAGAGGAAGACCTTCTGCTGGTTGAGAAGGTTTGGGTTAGGGATCACTTAGGCAAACTGGCCACTCAAAAATCTATGGGCTCCAAAGGGATGCACCCAAGAGTGCTGACGGAACTGGCAGAGGTCATTGTTCAGCCTCTCTCCATCATCYTYRAGAGGTSCTGGAGAGCAGGGGAGGTGCYSGAGGACTGGAAGAGAGCCAACGTCACTCCAGTCTTCAAAAAGGGCAAGAGGGAGGAGCCGGGCAATTACAGGCCGGTCAGCCTCACCTCYGTCCCTGGAAAGGTGATGGAGCAGCTCATCCTAGAGAGAATCTCTAGGCATGTGAAGAAGAAAGAGGTGATCAGGAGTAGTCAACATGGATTCACCAAGGGGAAATCATGTCTGATGAACCTAACAGCCTTCTGTGATGGGATGACAGGCCRGCTGGACGAGGGCAGAGCCGTGGATGTTGTCTACCTTGACTTCAGCAGGGCTTTTGACACAGACTCCCATGATATCCTCATAGGAAAACTCCAAGAGTGTGGCAGAGATCGAGAATTGGCTGGATAGCATAGCTCAGAGGGTGGTGGTGATAAATGGGGCCGAGTCCAATTGAAGGCCTGTGACCAGTGGTGTCCCCCAGGGGTCAGTACTGGGCCCGGTGCTGTTCAACTTGTTCATCAATGACCTGGACGAGGGCACGGAATGCACCCTGAGCAAGTTTGCAGATGACACCAAGCTGGGTGGAGTGGCCGACACTCCGGAGGGCTGTGCTGCCATCCAGAGGGACCTGGACAGGCTGGAGAGCTGGGCAGAGAAGAACCTCATGAGGTTCAACAAGGACAAGTGCAGGGTCCTGCACCTGGGGAGGAATAACCCCAGGCATCAGTACAGATTAGGGGTTGACCTGCTGGAGAGCAGCTCCGCAGAGAGGGACCTGGGAGTCCTGGTTCCTGGATGCATCAGGTCGGGAGGAGTGTTGCCAGCAGGTCAAGGGAGGGGATCCTGCCCCTCTACTGAGCTCTGGTGAGGCCGCACCTGGAGTACTGTGTKCAGTTCTGGGCTCCCCAGTATAAGAGGGACGTGGAGCTCCTAGAGAGGGTCCAGCGGAGAGCAACAAAGATGATTAAGGGACTGGAGCATCTCTTGTATGAGGAGAGACTGAATGAGTTGGGCCTGTTCAGCTTGGAGAAGAGAAGGCTGAGAGGGGATATGATAAACATGTATAAGTTCATGAAGGGAGAATGTAGGGAAGAAGAGGACAAGCTCTTTTCATTGGTGGCCAGTGACAGGACAAGGGGAAATGGGTATAAGTTGAAACACAGGAAGTTCCATCTCCTTGTGAAGAAGAACTTCTTCACTGTGATGGTGACAGAGCACTGGAACAGGCTGCCCAGGGAGGCTGTGSAGTCTCCTTCTCTGGAGATCTTCCAAACCMGCCTGGATGCCGCCCTGTGCCCCGTGCTCTGGGTGTCCCTGCTGGAGCAGGGGGCTTGGACTAAATGATCTCAAGAGATCCCTTCCAACCTTAACCATTCTGTGATTCTGAGTTGATCCTTCCTCTCTACTCAGTCCTGGTGAGGCCACACTTGGAGTGCTGCGTCCAGTTCTGGGCTGCCCAGGACAAGASAGACATGAAGCTACTGGTGTGAATTCAGTGGTGGGATAGTGGTGGGCTACTAAGATGATTAAGGGACTGTAACACAGTTAGTAAGAGGAGAGGCTGAGAGAGCTGGGACTGTTCAGACAGAAAAAAAAAAAAAAAAAAGAGAGGAGTGTAGAAGGAAGGATCTAAGCATCTGAAGAGAAGGTGTAGAAGATGGGATCAGATTCTTCTCAGTGATGCCCAGCGATAGGATGAGAGGCACAAACTGAAACACAGGATCTATCTGAACACAAGAAGAAAAAGAAATCATGTGAGTGTGAGAGCAATGGAGCAGGTTACCCAGAGAGATTGTGGGATCTCCATCCTTGGAAATACCCAAAAGCCATCTGAACACAATCCTGGACAACATGYTATAGGTGACTGTGCTTGAGAAAGGGAGTTGGACTATGATCGTTCTAAATTTTCGTTCCCTGAATTTATCATTTCTCTTGACRTCTTTACAGGGCACCCAGTCTTCCAGAGTATGTTCACAAATGGTATCATTGGTCTGAATACTCAATAGCAAAAACTGAATATGATGAATGAATGGTCAGTAGGTCTAGATGAGTCAAAAAGATTAGTTCCTCTGCATTAGGAACTCAAGAAAGATAGTCTCACTGAGTCTGAGG